AGGAAGAAACTACACTTCCAATAAGTACAAAGATTGTTCTGGTACTTGCAACAACTCTGAACAAGACCAACACATCAGCAATCTATGCTGACAATTTCTTTTCAAGTCTACCTTTGGTCAAGTTACTAAGAGACAAGTATAACTGCAGATACACTGGAACAGTACGTGATAATAGATGTGGTAAGCCAAACCTGGTTCCTGTCAAACAAATGGAAAAGAGTAATGTGCCCAAGGGCACTTGGGACTATCAAAACACCAATGATGGTATCCTTGTTGTACGATGGAAGGACAACAAAGTTGTGACTTTAGTGACAAATGATCAGGGGGTTAATCATGTGACAAATATTGAGAGATATAACAAGGATACAAAAGCCAGAACCAAGGTCGCTTGCCCTACAGTCATCAAGAACTATAATGCTCACATGGGAGGTATTGACAAAAGTAACATGTTGGTGCATCTACACAAAACATATATGAAATCTAAACGCTGGTACATGCGGCTGTTTGCCTATGTTCTTGATCTGTCTGTTGTCAGTGCATGGCTTCTTTACTGCCGTGATTGTAAATCACTGAATACCAAGTTCATGCCACTGAAGAGTTTCAGGAATGATATCTCTATCACTGCAAGATCCAAAGGAAATAAGTTGGGGCGCACTAGCAGAACAAGTACAAGAGCTTCGACAAGTACTAGTTCCAATAGTGACACTAATGATTTTGCAAGCTTGCAAGTGCCAGTTGCTAGGCAGTACCAACATGCAATAAGGCCTGATGACTGTGTGAGGAAAGATTAAACACTACCTCACTGGGCAGTGAATGACAAGGTTCTTACTTGTAAGCATTGCAGCAACAAGAACAATTATACCACATCGTCATTTTTCTGTTCCGTATGCAAAGTAAATCTATGCATAAAGAAAGATAAAAATTGCTTCATAGCGTTCCATTCTAGCAATTAGTAATATACAATGACTGTTCTTTCTCAGGGAATTCAGGAATATGAGACTTGAAAATTTTATCCCTTTGCAATGTGTCAATGTAGCAATTTGGTTTCTTTTTATATTTTTTTAATACCTAAAAAAGGTTTGGATACAAGTTCCACTTATATTTTTTTATATTGTCTGTTTGTATAATAAATTTAAAAAATAGTTATTTGCTGTTTTATTAACCATTGCAAGTTTGCAACAGCCAAATTTCTACTTAATACGGGCAGGCCATATTAAATTAGGGTTTCGCTGATTAGCAATTGCTTGAAAACTAAACATCAGAATTCCATTTATATGGGCTCACTGACCTTATATTGAGTTACTCTATCCACTATAGGGAGTTCAGTTAGAAATTCTAATTTTATGGCCATTTGCCCCAAGAAGAGAAGAGATACATAGTCCTCCCCACCAACTCCATTGCCAAACATGTTTCCAACATCTTTTCCAATACCTCATTCCAAGTATCTACCTCCACAACCACGACCATCAAGGACATCACCAGTAATAGAAAGGATAAGCTTCTATCCTCTGCAGGGGTATACATAATCCCTTGTAATGACTGCAGCAAATTATACATGGGCGAAACATCAAGAGACCTCCAAACACGTATTTCAGAACACCAATACGCAAGCAGGACTGACGATACAATGAATGCACGTGTACAACACCGCAATTCACACAACCATTTAATTAACTACAGAAACTCAAGACTTATCGCCAGAGAAGACAACACTCAATACCGAAGAATCCTGGAATCATCGCTTATCTCTATAACCAACAATTTCAACCAGAACAATGGCTTCTATAACATAGCTGAACCACTTGCCAAGAAACTTCTTCATCGCTATCCCACATAAGAACATAGAACACTGCAGAAGGTCTGCTCACAACTTATCCAATCTCCATTCCAAGCTACCCAAGATTTTAGACTCTATAACCCAACTCGGCAAATCATCAGATGCAGCATTCTCCACCTGACCTCAACATTCTGAACCTGACTATAAATACTCACGTACCTTCCACACCAGGTAGATCTGTTTGTGACTTGAAAAAGCCCACTGTGTGGGAGAACGTTGTCAATAAAGGATCACATTAAACTGCATATGTGTTTATATTTCCATTGTGTAGGTATTTTATACCATTTATTTCCATTGGCTCCGTTATGTTGACGACATTCTCCTCATAACTCCTAGACGCTTCAACGTTCAAGCTTTCCAAGACAAGCTCAACCAGTTCGAGCCTTCAATCCAGTTCACACTTGAAGAAGTCGACAACACTGTTCCTTTCCTTGATGTTCTTCTCTGCAAAACTGACCATGAATTTCGTTTTAAAGTCTATCGAAAACCCACCAACCAAAACGATCTTCTCCACTTTTACTCTCACCACGACACCAAAACTAAACGTGGTGTAATTATAGGCTTCTTCCTGCGTGCACTCAGAATCTGCAGCAATGAGTTTCTTGAGGAAGAATGCACTATAATTGAACAAGTATTTTCTAAACTCCACTATCCTCGTCACTTCATCAGAGACTGCAGACGACGGGCATTAAACATCTTCAACACACCCAGAGAAGACACTGCCGAGAAGAGATACATAGTCCTCCCCACCAACTCCATTGCCAAACACGTTTCCAACATCTTTTCCAATACCTCATTCCAAGTATCTACCTCCACAACCACGACCATCAAGGACATTACCAGTGATAGACAGGACAAGCTTCCACCCTCTGCAGGGGTATACATAATCCCTTGTAATGACTGCAACAAATTATACGTGGGCGAAACATCAAGGGACCTCCAAACACGTATTTCAGAACACCAATACGCAAGCAGGTCTGACGATACAAGGAATGCCTGTGTACAACACCGTAATTCACACAACCACTTGATAAACTACAGAAACTCAAGACTTATCGCCACAGAAGACAACACTCAATACCGAAGAATCCTGGAATCATCACTTATTTCTATATCCGACAACTTCAACCAGAATAGTGGCTTCTATAACATAGCTGAACCACTTGCGAAGAAACTTCTTCATCGCTATCCCACATAAGAACACTGTAGAAGGTCTGCTCACAAACTTGTCCAACCTCCCTTCCAAGCTACCCAAGATTTTAGACTCTATAACTCCACTCGGTACATCATCAGATGCAGCATTCTCCACCTGACCTCAGCATTCTGAACCTGACTATAAATACTCGCGTACCTCCCACCCCAGGTAGATCTGTTTGCGACTTGAAAAAGCCCACTGTGTTGGCGAAACATTGTCAATAAAGGATCGCATTATACTGCATATGTGTTGTAGATGAATGGTTCAGAGAACCGACATATGTATTTATATTTCGAGATTGTTCATACATACTCCCACCTCTAGTATCTAAACCCTTGTTGTCAAGAATAAACTTGGCTTCTCTTTCAGGTAGTCATACATCGTGTATCAGTAGTATTACCGAGGAGCATTTTAATAAGACACAGTATGGTGTTTTGGACATTTTATTGAGAAGTCCTTTCGCCCACCAGGGACTTTATTAACTCTCAAAGAGATGGAAATTGTGACAAAGTTTTAAATTGGTGAAACTTGTATAGACCCGAACACGAGGATCATCGACCACAGAAGTGTTTCACGTGTTTATAAAAAATCTTGTGAAGTGTGCAATTAAAAAAAGAAAACAGATTTAGCATTCTAACTATAAAATACTCGATTCTTAGTCAAAATATTTTAATTTTAGTGGAAAGCAAGAAATAGTCCGAAAAATCGTAATTTATCATTATTTTTGATGACATCAGAGAGAATCATAGGAAGAACTTCGCCATCGACAAACTAGTCACTAAAGAAGTAGACAGGCGGAACCCACTTTGCTAAGAATCTGCTTATTATCCCTGTATTTTTAGCGCTTCCTTTTTATAATAATAATAATTAGAATCTGTTCTGATCGCCACTGCTAACAATATTACACACAAATCAGGTTCATTCCTTATTTCTGAAGCGCTGGCCACACTTAGTCTCACTGGATGTGATACTTCTCTTTCATAAACAATATGGAGGAGTGCTGAAGTTGATCTACTGAATCACCAAACTTCGAAGTTTCCACTTGGTTGAACAACATTGCAGTAGGTGACGTCACTCGCTCATCTCTACACATTACGTCTCTACACTCAACACATGTTCTCTCCTCCATCTGAGTTCCTGATGGACGGAAAGTCTTCTCAATAAAATGCCACAAACCAGCGTACATTTTTATCTATACAAGCAAATTCAGGATATTTGCTCAGAATTTCAGCTATCTTAGTTTGATTAGTAAGAGAACCTCAGCATGATCACATAGATTTATGTAATGTATATTTCTATGTTCTTCAGTAACCGGATTGTTGAATGTAACATGAATAGAATGGCTGGAACAATGATAGAACAGTATGATTTATATGGTGTTATAATTGTATGAAATAGGCTTAGTTACAATCATTTTTGGTAGTTAAGTGAATAACTAAACAAAACAATCAAGGGTGGAAGACAGACACATAGTTGAGTGGGACAGTATGCCAAAGGAGTGCAAGTAGTGGAGTCTAAAATCTTGTTACAACACTGTATGAAAATGACCCCTCAAGGGATGTTACCTGACGCTGGTGAGGGGCTCTTGATCTAGGGAATTGGATCTGTGCTCCGGTTCCCTGAATTGAGTCTGAATATCTTCCATCCCCCTCCCCCACATGAGCTGTATAATCCTACGGGTTTAACGCTCTCCCATGATTATAATAATAATAATAATGTATGAAAATGTATGAAGCTCCTACCTGACCATCCTGCGTTTTAGTGAAGCCATACAAGGTACAGACAAACGGATGCTCATCTAGAATCCTACTCAAGATCAACATTTCCTGCTACTCATTTAACCCAGATGGTTTAAGATGCGTCTACACAATTTGTGACAATTATAGATACTAAGCATTTTTCCAGCAACTGGAAAAACATTTACACATTCTTCGAACTATAGCTGACAGTGAGGGAGCCGGTACTCACGCCTGGGTTCGGAGGGGCGTGGTACTCCACGCTTACGGAGGGTTCAGGAGATGAAGAGGCGTTGCTGTCATCCAGAGAGCGTCCGTACCCGGATTCCCGGGTAGTGCTTCGCGAATCCGTCCTTTGTTTGTTTGCAATGCTCACTCCAGCGGCGTCCCCTGCCTCCGCTACCCCACCATCGCCGAGGTCAACATCGGTAAACAGGTTAGGGTTGGTCCAGTGGCCACTGTCCGTGTGGGGTTCGTCAGACACGGGATCACGCAGTCGCAGCACTGGTCGCCAGTTCGTCGCCGGGTTCTCTTCCAGAGCTGTAGCTGTGAAGGAGTCATTATCGAAGCCAGAGTTGGTGAGTCCCAAGTCGCCATCTATAGTTTGGTCGTCTAAGATAATATTAGAAGAGGCGACGGAGACGTTAGAATTGTTGGATGAAGGGGCGAGGGGTAGGTCGTCGTCTCCAGAGGAACAAGGGGCCGTGATGGCGTCTTTAATGGCGCACAGAGCCCGCCAGGTGGACTCGCAAATACAGCTCATCGTAGAGGTACTCTACGTCCTCATCTAGAGTCCAGAATATCATCCATTACGTAAACACTATTAAATACTGCTTTAACCTCGGGAAGTCTTCACTCTCGCACTAAATCATAGCCTTCCACTCCGAGTTTATAATCCGGAACGCAGTTTGAGCACCACACGATAATAACTGACTTCACTCTCAATTTCTTTGAGCCAAAGAAAGATCCTCACTAATGTCGGTCCATCAACCGAGTCGAAACAGGAGAGGAGGTAAGCAGCAGCATCAGGCAGGAGTGCAGATTGCCACACTACTGACACTCGTTGCGGGCACTGATCAGGGGCAGGGAAAGCCCGCACTGGTAAGAGATAAGGGATATCGGCGGAGTGCGGTGAGCCACTACAACACCCATACCTCTCCCACAGCTGTAAACATGAGACACATTAACTTTTCAGCACAACGCCAACTTTTCAGTGTTGGATAAGACTACCCATTAATTCTGGAAGAAATCTAGCGTCGTTTCAAGGGCATTTATCTTATGTAAATTTATTCTGTTATTAACATAAATGGATAAGTTGTGCCATACAGAGTTATTTTTAGGATTGATAAATGTGAGCAAGGCAACCAGTGCCATTTATGATGTCACTGATGACGTCACAGTGCCAGGCGGTGACTATGGTTTAAAGTTACAGTGTAACAGTGATGGTTACCTGACCTGGTCTGTATACCACAAAACATTACAACACCCCGTGCTAAGCCACACTATACTAAATCAAACTACACCACAATACACTACGCCACAATATAGAACACTACCACCACATCACAATACACCACATCACAACATACAACACTACCGCCGCACCACGATACTATACACTATACTGCACCCCAAAATAAAGCACTACTCTCCATCACAAAACAATTCACTACGCTACAATAAAATGTACTATACTAAACCATACTGCAACTCATTACGTTATACTACAATACACTACGCTACACCACCACAAAGTACACTACAACTTGCCACAACGCACTACCCTACAACATACTACACTGCACCACAATACAACACATTACAAACACAGGTGTAGTTTTGTGGCCTGCACACTTGGTTGTAGCACGATAACCAAGGTAGAAACGAACAAGAGAGAGCAGTGGGTAAATATTTACATAAATTTATATATATTTCCTTCACCAAAACAGCTTCGAAGCATATGTACAGGGAACATGTACAGAAATGCAATTTGCAAGCAAAAGACACGGTGAGAACCGTCTTCGACCAGACTCGGAGGTAAGTCTGCCAATGTTGATTCGCGAGTGTCCAACATCACTTCACAACTTTAGCGGGCTTCCTTGTGATTGGCTGGGTGAACCAAGGTAGTAGCATAACGAGGGAGGCAGGCTTCCTTATGACTGGCCGGATAATACAAGGTGCTAGCATAACAAGGGGGACAGACTTCCTTATGACTGGCTGGGTGAACCAAGGTGCTAGCATAACAAGGGGGGGGCAGGCTTCCTTATGACTGGCTGGGTGAACCAAGGTGCTAGCATAACAAGGGGGTCAGGCTTCCTTATGATTGGCTGGGTGAACCAAGGTGCTAACATAGCAAGGGGGGGGTGGGCTTCCTTATGATTGGCTGGGTGAACCAAGGTGCTAACATAACAAGGGGCGCGGGCTTCCTTGTGATTGGCTGGGTGAACAAAGGTGCTAACATAACAAGGGGGGTGGGCTTCCTTATGATTGGCTGGGTGAACCAAGGTGCTAACATAACAAAGGGGGTGAGCTTTCTTATGATTGGCTGGGTGAACCAAGGTGCTAACATAACAAAGGGGGCAGGCTTCCTTATGACTGGCTGGGTGAACCAAGGTGCTAACATAACAAAGGGGACAGGCTTCCTTATAACTGGCTGGGTGAACCAAGATGCTAACATAACAAAGGGGGCAGGCTTCCTTATGACTGGCTGGGTGAACCAAGGTGCTAACATAACAAAGGGGACAGGCTTCCTTATGACTGGCTGGGTGAACCAAGGTGCTAACATAAGGGGGCCTCGCTCGTTTACTCCTAGCATCTGGTTTGCTGGTCGGGAGGTCATGCCTATAACGTGACATACGTCGAATAAAATATAATATACTCTTAACATCCCACCTAAATGCAACACACTACACTACACTACAATACAACCATTACACTGGCACCATAAGGCAACATACACCACAGTACTGTACCCTGCAACACATCACAATATATTTCAATACAATAAGCCACAGTACAGGACATTACATTACAAAACAATACAAAACACTACAATACACTGCGACACACTGTCCATGCACTCAGCATTGACCTTGATGCCAGAACAAGGTCTCTCTCTCACTGGTCGACGATTCAGAACGGTTTTATGACATGTTCGATGTTTTAACTAGAACATGACAATAACAGAAGTGATGTTATATTACGAAGAGACACATAATTTATCTTCAGTTATTACAGCTGAAGTTGAAAATAGAAGCAAACGTGGAAATAGAGTGAACGTGGAGATAGAAGTGAACTTGGAAATAGAAGTGAACGTGGAGATAGAAGTGAACGTGGAGATAGAAGTGAACGTGGAGATAGAAGTGAACGTGGATAGAAGTGAACGTGGAAATAGAAGTGAACGTGGAAATAGAAGTGAACGTGGAAATAGAAGTGAACGTGGAAATAGAAGTGAACGTGGAAATAGAAGTGAACGTGGAGATAGAAGTGAACGTGGAGATAGAAGTGAACGTGGATAGAAGTGAACGTGGAGATAGAAGTGAACGTGGAGATAGAAGTGAACGTGGAAATAGAAGTGAACGTGGAAATACAAGTGAAAGTGTAAATAAAAGTGAACGTGGAAATAGAAGTGAACTTGAAAATAGAAGCGAACGTGGAAATAGAAGTGAACGTGGAGATAGAAGTGAACGTGGAAAAACAAATGAACGTGGAAATACAAGTGAAAGTTGAAATAGAAGTGAACGTGGAAATGTAGACCGGGCAAATTAAGGAAAGAACTGAAATTATTGGTAATGACATGATATTTGTGAGTGATGTTAGTAATGACATGATATTTGTGAGTGGTGTTAGTAATGACATGATATTTGTGAGTGGTGTTAGTAATGACATGATATTTGTGAGTGGTGTTAGTAATGACATGATATTTGTGAGTGGTGTTAGTAATGACATGATATTTGTGAGTGGTGTTAGTAATGACATGATATTTGCGAGTGGTGTTAGTAATGACATGATATTTGTGAGTGGTGTTAGTAATGACATGATATTTGTGAGTGGTGTTAGTAATGACATGATATTTGTGAGTGGTGTTAGTAATGACATGATATTTGTGAGTGGTGTTAGTAATGACATGATATTTGTGAGTGGTGTTAGTAATGACATGATATTTGTGAGTGGTGTTAGTAATGACATGATATTTGTGAGTGGTGTTAGTAATGACATGATATTTGTGAGTGGTGTTAGTAATGACATGATATTTGTGAGTGGTGTTAGTAATGACATGATATTTGTGAGTGGTGTTAGTAATGACATGATATTTGTGAGTGGTGTTAGTAATGACATGATATTTGTGAGTGGTGTTAGTAATGACATGATATTTGTGAGTGGTGTTAGTAATGACATGATATTTGTGAGTGGTGTTAGTAATGACATGATATTTGTGAGTGGTGTTAGTAATGACATGATATTTGTGAGTGGTGTTAGTAATGACATGATATTTGTGAGTGGTGTTAGTAATGACATGATATTTGTGAGTGGTGTTAGTAATGACATGATATTTGTGAGTGGTGTTAGTAATGACATGATATTTGTGAGTGGTGTTAGTAATGACATAATATTCGTGAGTGTTGCTGGTAATGACATGATATTTGGAAGTGTTATTGGTAATGACATGAAATTTGTGAGTGTTGTTGGTAATGACATGATATTTGGAAGTTTTGTTGGTAATGACATGAAATTTGTGAGAGTTGTTGGTAATGACATGATATTTGTGAGTGGTGTTAGTAATGACATAATATTCGTGAGTGTTGCTGGTAATGACATGATATTTGGAAGTGTTATTGGTAATGACATGAAATTTGTGAGTGTTGTTGGTAATGACATGATATTTGTGAGTGGTGTTAGTAATGACATAATATTCGTGAGTGTTGCTGGTAATGACATGATATTTGGAAGTTTTGTTGGTAATGACATGATATTTGTGAGAGTTGTTGGTAATGACATGATATTTGGAAGTGTTATTGGTAATGACATGAAATTGTGAGTGTTGTTGGTAATGACATGATATTTGGAAGTGTTGTTGGTAATGACATGATATTTGTGAGTGTTGTTGGTAATGACATGATATTTGTGAGTGGTGTTAGTAATGACATAATATTCGTGAGTGTTGCTGGTAATGACATGATATTTGGAAGTGTTATTGGTAATGACATGAAATTTGTGAGTGTTGTTGGTAATGACATGATATTTGTGAGTGGTGTTAGTAATGACATAATATTCGTGAGTGTTGCTGGTAATGACATGATATTTGGAAGTTTTGTTGGTAATGACATGATATTTGTGAGAGTTGTTGGTAATGACATGATATTTGGAAGTGTTATTGGTAATGACATGAAATTTGTGAGTGTTGTTGGTAATGACATGATATTTGGAAGTGTTGTTGGTAATGACATGATATTTGTGAGTGTTGTTGGTAATGACATGATATTTGTGAGTGGTGTTAGTAATGACATAATATTCGTGAGTGTTGCTGGTAATGACATGATATTTGGAAGTGTTATTGGTAATGACATGAAATTTGTGAGTGTTGTTGGTAATGACATGATATTTGTGAGTTGTTAGTAATGACATGATATTTGTGAGTGTTGTTGGTAATAACATGATATTTGGAAGTTTTGTTGGTAATGACATGATATTTGTGAGTGTTGTTGGTAATGACATGATATTTGTGAGTTGTTAGTAATGACATGATATTTGTGAGTTGTTGGTAATGACATGTTATTTGGAAGTGTTGTTGGTAATGACATGATATTTGTGAGTGAGGTTGATAATGATATGATATTTGTGAGTGTTGGTGGTAATAATATGATATTTTTGAGTGTTGTTGGTAATGACATGATATTTGGAAGTATTGCTGATGATGACATGATATTTGTGAGTGTTATTGGTAATGACATGATATTTGGAAGTGTTGTTGGTAATGACATAATATTTGTGAATGTTGTTGGTAATGACATAATATTTGTGAATGTTGTTGGTAATGACATGATATTTGGAAGTTTTGTTGATAATGACATGATACTTGTGAGTGTTGCTGGTAATGACATGATATTTGCAGGTGTTGCTGGTAATGACATGATATTTTTGAGTGTTGCTGGTAATGACATGATA